TGCCCTCTCTAGAGGGGACATGTATTCAGTAGTCCCAATTGCACCATGGTCTTTTTTATCTGTGTTTACCCCTTCATTTTCCCATTTGCCCCTGCACACACGCAAGTCTCTGAGTTTTGCCTCAGGTTAGTGGGAAGAACTATGACAGATTTGCTGAGAGCACTCTTGCATCTGGTGCTGTCCAGGCCTCTAGGAGATACTCGATGTATGTTCTGAATTGAACTTACCAACCTTCTCATCTTCTCTTATACTTGTCCTTACTCCACTTTTTCTTGGAAATAGGATTCCTAAACAACATGCCTCTGGAAACTCTATGAACTCTGATAAATGTCGACAGTTGTAGAGGGGCTTCAAGCCTTTTTGTTCATAGGGTCACTATGAGTAGTGCTTGACTCGAAGGCAATCAGCAACAACAACAACAACTTTAAATGCACTTCCCCTGCAAATCTTGGATTCCTTTTACCTTCCCTCCCTCCACTTAAGAAACCCAACCTATCTGGTTAACTCCTGCTCATCCTTCATTTCTCAGTTCAAATGTTGTCTCTGTGGAAGCCTTCTCCAGCCCCTCAGGTTAAATCAGGTTTCTCTGAGTAGGTGTCAGAGCACTGTTGACAATTTCTCTGTTGCCATCACTGGTGCGTTGCTCTGTACCTGTGTGACAGCGTCATGTCTGTCTGCCTCACACAACCACAGGCTGCATGAGGGGAGAGCCTATGCTGCTGCTGTGCTTACTCTTGGTATCCAGTGTGATTGGTGCCAGACATAAAGCAAATCTTCAAGGTCTGACTGAATGAATGAGCAAGCCCTTGAATAAATGAATAAAAATTTCCAGGAGCTTCACTATAAGGGGAATTGAAGTCGGTATGTCAGAGGTGCGGATGTCACTGTTAATGTGTGAGTAACTGTAATGTTATAACTTACCATGCACTTGCTGTTGTCCCTGGACTGTGGTTTCTGTATAGATGTGTCTGCTCTGACACCACGAGCCTCCTGAGGGCAGAGGCCTCTTAACTTGTTTTCTATTTTCTGCATTGAATAAACTGAGATTCCAAAACTGTATATTGAGCAGCAAAAATGAACTTAGGTTCTGCTCTTCAGAAAAGGCTGTCAGCTCCTCTCCTTATTAACTTACATGTTCCGTGCTTGCTTTTATTACCCCTAAATGGCTATATTTTTCAGCAATTGTGCTTCAGCAGTGCCCACCACAAACGACTGTTCGGGTGGGAGTGTGACACCCTATTAGCCCTGGCCGTGAAGTTTCTGTTGGTCAATGGCCTATTTGCTGAATTTTCGAAGCATTTTACAAGCATCATTAACCTTATCATGTCCAATAATTGCAAAAGTAGGGGAAACACAGAACGTGCAGTTGACAAGACTTAATGAATAGTCTTTAAAGTGAGCACTTTGACATGCGAGTGTACCCACAGGTTAAATGGGGAATGTTTGACTCCATGTAAGTTTGACTTTATCCAACAAGGAAAGTCTCTTCTGCACATGGGATTAAAAATAACAGGTCTTAGTTCTGAGTTCAGACATACACCTCATCAATGAGCCAGGGCGCATAATTAATTCCCACTGAGGGCTCACTGGGATTAATTAACAGCTGCTTATGCAGAGCCTAGTTCAGATTTGTAGCACAGTGGGTGGAGTTCTAGAATGGCTAGTTCTTAAACTCACAGTCCAGTCGCCTCAGGAGGATTAAGCGAATTGGAGCTGTTGGGGCTCTTGCCTGCTCTGTGGGGCTGTCTTGGGTGCATGTGCATCCGACTGCTGCCGGCAGAGGGCAGCAACACGCTGTGAGTATTCAATTTGCATCTCTATTAGCAAATCCCCCCGGACCTACAAAGAGAGTGGGTGTCCCCGACCCCCTTCATCCCTTTTATTTGGGTGTCAACACTGATCTGAGTAATTGCAAACACAAACCTTTTAAATTACCCATGAACTCATCTGAAATAGAGAAATGAATACACAACTAGGAGCTGCCATCACAGACAGGAAGTAACTTTAATTAAATATTGTGAAAGTTGAAAAGTTTTTACAGCTTGAATTTTTGCAAAAAAAAAAAAAATTATAACAATCTCTACAGTAGTTAGGTTCTCTAACAATTGAACTGTACAGTGTGTGTCTATTCAAAAAGTTTGGATACGAAGGTGAAAGGTTAGTAGATTTAGAGATGACTTTGTTAAGCTGCATCCTAGTACAACGTGAGGCCACGGCTTGTTAGCAATCCAGTCATCCAGAAGCTTTGTTTTTTCCCCCAACATTGAAATCTTAATTTCAGTTCCTATTTCATTTTCTTCTTAAAGCCATATTCTGTATTTAGGGGAACATCTTTTACCTCGTAAAAGAAGCTTTGTGTAAAAGAAAGAAGGGCAGAGGGCCAGAACGTCTTTTCATCTAATCAATATAAATAGAAGCAACAAAACACAAATTCTACACATTTTAAAGGCTCTTTGGGCTTTCAAGAAAAGTTCTAACCACTGCACATGGCTGACAGATGGGTGACGTCTGTTGTCAGGGTCTGAGCCGGACACCTCCCAGCTGACTGTTCCTTCACAAACAGTTAAAGGGGCTCACCAGACAAAATATGGCTTTAAATTGTACACATCTTCAAGCCAGCGCTTACCGCGTGAATTTAGACAACCTTTCTGAGTACCGAGAAGCAAAGCGTCCATGTTGCTTACATTTTCCAGTTTTTTTTATTATTATTAATCATTATTATCTCTCACCATGAAAAATCAGCTTTCTTCCCCTCCCTTCCCTCCCGCATCACCCCTCCCCCACCCTTCCCAACCCATAAAAATCGCACTCTGACAGCCTAGTGAAAACCATTGCAAAATCCATCTGGGGGGCATGCACAGTTGCAGCATTGTTGTAAATGATTTCTCACTCTACTAGAAAAAGTTACATTGTCTTAAGGTAACAAAACAGTTCTTTTGTGCTTTTCGATTTCTTTGTTGTTTTTTTTTCTTTTTTTTTTTCCTTTTTCTTTTTTCTTAGAATGTTAGTGATGACTGACAGTTCTGGTGCACAGTTACAATGTACAAGTGAAATGAATATGATTTGCATTGTTAAGGCATCCAATCTGCTGGTTTATATTTATGTGAAAGACAGAGGAAATATACAAGCAGACTTAAGAAAGAAAGTATGTTCATTGATTTCTATGAAGTTTCTCCTCTGAATGTAACGCACAAAATGCGTCACTCCAAAGGGAGAGATTCCATGCATATTAATAGAGTAAAACAGCATTAGTTTTTTCTTTTTTTCTTTTTTTTGTAAGCTTCCAAAGCAAAGGATACATTTCTTTCATCTACAGAACTAAATGCTACAAGAATAATATGCTACTATTTTTTTTTCTTTTTGCCATATATTGGGACTGGGGAAAACTTAACTTACAAATAATACAAAAATAGACAATGGCTTTTGGGTGGAAATTTTAAAAAAAATTGAAGCATGGTTTAAAACAATACTAAAAATAACTATAAATGAAATGTTTAAAAATCACATTGAAACAGCTAATACAACTGTAGGTGACCAAACAAAAATCTCATTTCTCACATAGCAACCATACACAATAAAATAAACTGGGTGTGGAAAAGGGAGGAAGAAGGGGAAAAAGCAATGTACAAATTCCAAAGATAAATACATTATTTATATGGATATTTTACAAAATCCCATTTAAAACAAAAAACCTTTCGATTAACCTAGCAACTATGTGCAAGCTAAAGGTGGTGAGCTTTTTCCTTCCTCTTTTTTGCAAAATATGCAGTAAAATCTTTCTGTGATATTGAAAACTGTCTTAAGACATTAAAATGTATAAATAGAACAACAACTTTGGCAAAAAAATCACAAAAGATCTACAGTATTTATAACTACATACAAAAACATAACAGCAAAGGAAAAAAAAATATCACCTAAATGCATCCTCAGAGCTTTGCTGCATCTTTGCTATTTATCTTTTAAGAACACTTCCCAGATAATGAGAGCAAAAATTTCCACAGAACAGAAAACTAAGTTTTAGAGGTCTCAACCTTCTTTTCCATTCCCCCCTGTTTCCTTTTACTATTAATTCCAAAGCACTTAGGCTGTTGTTTCAATCTCTTATGCCACAGATGGTAAGGGTCAATGGGTATAGGCGCTCTCTTGAATGGGAAATCGAAATGTGGGCCATGTTGCTTTTGTCAGTTTCTGGAGTATCAGTATGAAGTCAGTATTTTGTGTGAGTAAACTTTGAACTTGGAAATGGCAGGGTGTGAGTGAGATTTTGGCTTGATATGTGGACAGCATAATGTGGAGCTCTGTGCCTGAACCCTGTTATATGAAGTCTCGGAGGAGAGTCAAGATTCACAGGCAGTGTGGGTGCCACTAAGCTCTCGAGAGGCTGCGGGCTTCAAAAGAGGTTGGCAGACGTAAAAAGAGAGTGATATCAATTTAAATATGCAGTTTTAACAATCTGTCTAGAGGCACTGGACATTTGAGTGGAAGGGGAAATGTAATCACTTACTTCGCTTTTTAACTTTCCAGGTTGCACTTATTTACACAGTTACTTAAGACAACAATACAAAAGAGATAAATAAGCTTGCACTGCTAAGGGGTGGCATGTTAAGTTAGATACTGAAAATGCACTGGCTGAACTAACTACCATTGGATATGCTTTAAGGCGCAAAAGCCGACCCTTAGTTTTCTAAAAATATCTAACTGGCATTCCTATTCTGTCCCATACAAGCTTGGTGGTGGTGGTTGTTGGTTTGGGGTGTGTTTTTTTTTTCCTTTTGTAACTTTTTTGTAAATATCTCACTTCATTCTCCCTTTACACAGCTTTAAAAACATCATAAATTAAAACATGGAGTCTTAAATATAGTGTCCCTTGTACAGAGCTTTCCGGTTTATAAAAGACCAATGATTGCAGAGTTAAGCTTAAAAAAAAAAAGGAAGAAAGAAAGAAAAGAAAAAGAAAAAGTGGATTTGCTTTTATCAACACAGAATAAATATATCTCCCCAATACTTGGGAGGTACTACTGTAACCAACACCCTGCACTTGAAGATCCCTTCCAATTTCAGTATTTGCAAGGTCGGTGATTTTTGTTTATTTAAAAATCTGCAGTTATTGTGATTCCTCTTAAAAAGGCCTGAGTTAAAAGTTCCACTCTGGGACTTGTATCAGATTACTCGCTGTAGCAGAATCCAACCTCTTCATTAATAAAATTCTTCAAGGCATTTCTTTCACATGGGAGGGACAATCATGCCAGATATCGCTGTTGAAAGAGAAGACAAAAGTCAATGGTTTTACATCCAAATTTCTCACTGAGGGGAGAGGGGAGAAAACACCCACACTCTACTGCATTAGCTAAATATTCAAAACGGATGTGCTCTCCTCTTCTTTGGAATGAGTTTTTGTCATAAAACATATATGTAGTTTATTAACAATTTTAGAGGTATGTGTACACATCCTTAACAGAATCAAATATCCTAAATATCCCCCTAAATCTGATTTCAATTTTAAAGCATAACTGAAACGCCACATAGTTCGAATACCATTCAGTAAATTGCAGCTCGAAACCTTGCAAAACAGAGTGTGGATATTCTGTTTGTCACTCCTTTTTTAAAAAAAAGAAAAAATAAACAAACACACAACAAATGCACCCTTTTAATTCCCAAATATAACAACTAGCCCATCTCAAGTACCAGCAATTTATATAGAAAGTCTCTGGTTCCCTCTGTGCTTTGTATTGCTATGAAGACTGGAAGTGAGAGCAGCAGTGTTAGCACCTTCTTCTCAATCCGTGGTCCTGGGAGAAGGAAGGGCAGCCAAGGCAGACATCGCACAGAGAACAGAAAGTGTGGAGGGGTGGAGAGAACAAGTCTGGATGAATCTGCAGAAAGTGTTCCTTAATACTGCTTCTCTCACTGTTTCTAGAGTGCTCTGAGCATGCTCCTAGGAAATTATAGCATAAGGAAATCAGAGTGTGGTCCTGAGCAAAGAAAAGACCGTTTGAGCAAATCGAAAAGCTTTCCATGTTTGGGGTTAGGAGGCCACACAGAACGCTGCTTAGAGAGCCTGGAATCAGGCTGGCCATAGTTCCATCCAGGTGGAATATTCAGTGAACGAGGTAAGCCTGGCCTCACCTGAGCTTTCTCACTTATCTGTAGTGAGTTGCTGCTTAGCTGCCTACCTCGCTTACTTGGGCACGCCATTCCTGCCAAGGGTAATAAATTAGAAAATAGGCTTTGACTCTATGAGAAGGTACTGTGTAGTTGGGGCAGAGACTGAAATTCAGGCTTTCTCAAGAAGCTGCAGGTTTGACCTGGTGACAGAAACATGAAATAATTTACTGTAGATTAGTAAGGAAGCCTGAGCTTACCTTGCTGACTGGTAACCCACCCCAGCTCCAATCTGGCCTTGCTCCTTTAATGAGACAGCCCCCTTTCCTCTGAGCTAGGTACATGTCTCTATCAGCACGAGTCCCTTCTGTAAGGAAATGGAGTCAATCACAGCCTTTAGATTTGCTGGAGTTTTTAATGAAATAGCACTTGCAACATGCCTAATGTGGTTCAGCCGGCTCCTATCAAGCTCCCAATGTTGTTGTTGTTGATTGTCGTCAAGTCAAGCACAACTCATAGCAACCCTAAGAACAACAGGCCTGAAGCCTTTCTATAACTATCATCATTTATCAAAGTTCACGGAGTTTCCAGAGGCAATACCCCAGGATCAAGTACCATCGAGTACACCCTCTTGAGTCAAAGGAGATCCGTGTTCCCTGTTTCAGTAACTGCTTTTGCTAAAAAAGTAGATATCCAACTCTTTCTTTTAAGTTGCCTCTGAGTGAACCTCTAACCTTTAGAATACATTATTAACAGTTATTCCTCCCAGGAAATCCCAACAGAAGTGAGCTGCTGTTATTATTAAACTGTTACTCGGCCAATAAACTTGTATGTGGCCTCATGTGCCAATTGCTTAATTTCTTTGGGCTGTATTTCTCCTTCCATCAAACAAGCATAAACCCACAGGGATGGGTGTAAGGAATAAAAGGGGTCTGTGAGAAGAAAAAAAAAGTAAGAGTGTGGCAACTTAGAAATATATCAAAATGAGGGAGAAGCTCACTGGAGAAACAAGCAGCAGCCATCTTTGACTCCCAGTGATGGCTCAGTGTCTTGTCAGGGAGAGAGAGAAGTCATTGCTTTCTCTCTCTTTTGTTTTTCTTTCCTTTCTCCATACCTTTTCATTCTCATTGTGTTTCATCCAATCATTCTCATACATTGTGTTTTATAAACTTAACTCCTACTGAATTATGCCTACCATTATCCTCTTCTTAGTTCCCTGCCAGATAGTTTCCATTTCCTTTACCCCTCCCTCCACTCACCAAATTGTACAACCCTATGGTTTCCCTCCCCACCCATTCTTACCCCACTGTTCCCACCCCTTTCCCCCTTGAACTCCTTATACGTTTTACTAGTTATTGTTCTATTTTTATAGTAATGTTCTTATGCAGTATTTGTCCTTATGAGACCGAATTAGTTCACTGAGCAAAATGCTCTTCAGTCTCTCCCAAGTTATGTAGTAATTAAAAAAAAAAATCATTGCTTCTGAGTGTTGTGTAGTATTCCACTGTGTGAATGTACCACAATTTCTCAATCCATTTGATTATTGTTGTACCTTTGGGCTGTTTCCATGTTCTTGTGATTGTGAATAATGCCATATACCAATGAACATTGGAATACAAATGGTCATTTGTATCTCAGTTCTAATTAATTCAGTGTGTATTCCTTCTGAATTTAAATTAATGTTCTTGATGGTGATGTTCTTAATGGGTCTAGGATGTGACCCTCCTAATTTCCTCAATATCATATCTGAAAGAATGTTGCCCCTGCTTCCCTTTTTGAAATCAACATAAGCTCAAACTGCAAGGTGAGGCTCTGAGCTCTGTGGTCTTCACACCATTCCTACCTCCCCTCCCCCAGCTCTGACATTTCAGATTCAATTAAAAACAAGAAAAAAAATATTTTGCCAAACACTTTTTCCGTTAATTTTTAAACCCATCTGTATTCACAAGGAAATTCAATCCACATGTTTCTGATTCATTTACACGTAAATCATCCAAATGTTGTTTTTGCAAGAGCCGTTTTGCCGTCCAAAGCTCCTGGAGTCTTTTTTTGTAAGCCCTCATAAGCCTTTTTTCTTAGAAACAGGAAGTTGTCTCTTGCCAAATGCAGGCCAACTCAAACCCCCAAAGATTTGGGATCCGTTGGAAATGCATTTCCCCCTAAAGATTGAAGCAGTCCTGGGTTTGACTGAGAAGGTAAGCTAGCCATTTCCATCCTGAGCTGCAAGCTGGAAATTCAAGATGATGGAGTGTCTAAGACCAGGGAGGGTCTTTGCAGTGTGACAGCACAGTGTGGCTTTCTTTTTGTAAGGTTCTACCACCCAGGCTGGAGGGAGGTCTACATATTCTTATTAAAGTAGACCTTTCAGAGGGGGTTCTTTATGGCAAAGGAAACAGGGCTATACCTACATTATACCCCTGTCCACTCAGGGTGTCCAGCAATAAAAGGTAGCTCCCTACAGTCAGTCAGACAGCTGAGGTGGTGTCAATATGACACAACACAATGTGGGAAGCTGACAAACTTCCTGCCAATTAGGTTGGTGGACTGAACTAAAATCTATCATTTTGGCCCTGAAAATATCCCACGTGACTGCTCAAAAGGGGAAAAAATTATTAAACAGCATTGGTACACGGATAATGGGTCAAATTAATTAGATATTCATTAAGTCGCGACTTAAAGTTGCAATACAAATTATAAAGCCAAGTTAGCTAATGTGCTAGTCTGTAGCTAACAAGGCTTCCAGATCTGGACTACAGAAACAGTGAACACCAGAGCTCAGGAAAGGGGCACAGGACAAGGCTTGTGGGGTGGGGACCACAAGGGTGTGTGTGTCTTCAATTGTCACCAGCACCATCAACAACAACAACTCAATGCCACAGAGTCAGGACCTACTCACAGCTGAACCTTCAGGGGGTTTTCTGAGGCTGTAAATTAGAATACGAGGGAGAGTGTCCGTTTTTCTCTCTTGGAGGCACTGAGTGGATTTGAACCAGCAGAGTTCCGCTAAATAATGCCAGACGGGAAGATTTGCTCACAGGCAACTTCTTCTAAATTTTCTCAAGGAAAACTGAAGATGTAGATTGTTTGGGGTTTTTTTTGGTGGGTTTTGTTAATGTGGGTTTTTCACCCCAACCATCATTACTGTTGGTCTCCACAGCCTTTATGTCATCCCAGGTAGTAACTCTGGACCCATTAATTGTTCATGTCCCTGTTCCTTAGCTATGGTCACCACTAATACATCTTCTCCCTCAATGCAACTGCCTATTCCAGGTATTTCACAAAAGTGAAAGCATACACTATTGGTCCTTTCATTGTTGACTTGTTTCACTCAACACAGTACTTTCAAGGTTTCTCTATGCTGTGGAATGCATAATGATAGACACAAATTTATTTTTAAGATTAAATAGCCAAGTTTGAAGATGTTAGCAACCAAATAAAACAAAAAATGTAAGAGTACCAAGAGGTATATTTGGTCTGCCTACATTTCCTATCATTCCATCATTGGTCTTAAACTTCTTGGAGCAAGTTATGAAAGGCACAGACCCGTCTCTCTAGCATCAGGGCTATAGGCACGTACACCCTGGCTGCAGTATATGCCATCTGGAAGGGGATGTCAATCCTGGAAAGCTTCCCCTGGACTTTCTAACTTCCAGATGCAGAACTGTGATGACTCGATTCTGGGAAAAGGTCACTATTTGTGGCCTCTGAGCGTAGGTCCTTCAAAAAGGACCTCTTTAGAAAGGACTTGCACTGCATGACTACAAGGTCACTCCCAGTTTTAGAAGTTATTGTCATATCTGTGCTGCAATCATGAAGATTAATTAAGTGGGTGAGAGGGATGGGTGTCTAAGAGTTGGAATGTTCCAGAAATGCTGCTGGCGTGCTGACTTGCCCGAGTCAGGCCCATGGAGATTCCCATGAGGACACCACACTCGTGGGGAGGACGTGAGCCAAGACATCACAAGACTGCGGTGCCCTGACACTCTTCCAGCAGTGAGGCCATCACGTTCTCTGACAGCAGCTCAGCAAACTATTGGTTTGAAGGACAATGTATTTTCAATTATGGTTGCGACATGTTGATAAGAACAAAGCCAAAATGGAAAGTTTTACAGGGCTGGGAGTAGTTGGAGTGAAAGCATGGAATGTGGTCTTC